TGTAGCACTGTTTAAACTGATTAGAAGAGTTTCTCTAGTTATTTATACAGTTATTTTGATGTAGCACTGTTTAAACTGATTAGAAGAGTTTCTCTAGTTATTTATACAGTTATTTTGATGTAGCACTGTTTACACTGATTAGAAGAGTTTCTCTAGTTATTATACAGTTATTTTGATGTAGTACTGTTTAAATTGGTCCAAACAGAAAAACAGTGTCTCTGACAGAAAGATTTAACTTTTTGTCAATGTAGCACAATTTACTGGTCCAACTGGAAAGAAACAGGATCTTTGATTGAAAGTATTTCAGTAAATGGATCTAATCATCACTCAGTAATTACATCCAACCTGCAACATCCAACAGATATCAGTCTTGATCATGAAGCATCTATGTTATATTGGGTGGATGTACATATTGATGGAACTTATTATATTGAGAGAAGCAGTACGAAGGGGTTGAGAAGACAGGTAAGTTTGCCATGAAATATTTTACAAACTAAGTGATGAAATTGTTTTAATTGGAAGTTGTTTTTATAATATTTTCATGATCCTTCCATTGTAAAGAAATATGTTTTGAAGTTAGAGATGTTACGCGTAAAAGCTGTAATATTTAAGTAGTTTTAAAAGAGTTTTGTTTATTTTTTAGCCTTTCTTACTATAGCATATTCTGTTGTTGTTTTCTTTCTTATAAAGAGTCAGTTGATCACCTTTAGTGACGATAATCTATAGAGAATATAGATACTTTCTCGCAGGTGATCATTTACATTTATACTATTCTCTAAGTTCTTTTTATTTCTTACAAATGATAAAATTTTGTTCAATTTCAAGGCACATTTTTTTGTTATTGTGAGATTTTAGTCTAAGTAATAGATTTTATCTTTCAATGTATGAGGTGTTTTATTAAGTTGAATAAATTTTAATAACCATTACATAAAAACCACCACTGATAATTAAATGATGTTGATTACTGAACAGAAAATTAGTGAGTAACACCTGCTTAGCAAACATTAAAAAAGGAATTTATTACCCCTACAGTGTAAACACTTGTAAAAGAGGATTGATTACCCACTACACAGTAAACAACAGTTGTTAATAACGAGGATTGATTACTTACTACACAGTAAACAATAGTTGTTATTAAAGAGGATTGATTAACCACTACACAGTAAACAACACGTGTTATTAAAGAGGATTGATTACCCACAACACAGTAAACAACAGTTGTTATTAAAGATGATTGATTACCTACTACACATTAAACAACAGTTGTTATTAAAGAGGATTGATTACCTACTACACAGTAAACAACAGTTGTTATTAAAGATGATTGATTACCTACTACACATTAAACAACAGTTGTTATTAAAGAGGATTGATTACCCACTACACAGTAAACAACAGTTGTTATTAAAGAGGATTGATTACTCACTACACATTAAACAACAGTTGTTATTAAAGAGGATTGATTACCCACTACACAGTAAACAACAGTTGTTAGGAATGATTGATATATTAGGATGCTTGTCAATCACTACATAGTAAACTAACTGATATTCTATAAAGTATTGAGAATTTACTTAGAGTTTCATTATGATGTTATTTCTGTCAGTTGTTTTGTTTTCCTAATATGTTATTACATATTAAAGTTTGTATGTATTGTAATGGTAGTTTGTTAGTGTAATGATCTAAATTTTTCTTTGAACCCACTATTTAGTTGTTTAATTTTTTAAATACGTTTTGTAAATCTGCTGTTTTCTATTGTGTTTGTGTATTTTATTCTATATGTTGGGGAAGAAATATTTGAATCATCTAATATTTGTCTAATTCCCAGGTGTAACGTAAAACTTCTTATATTACAGGTTATAGAAGAAGGATATGGCCATGGTCCTTTTGGTATCACAGTCTTTGGAGATTATCTGTTTTCAACTATGCGTGACCAAATTTTACGAAGTGATAAAAACAGTGGAAATAATAAAATTGTGCTTCATTCAGGAATGAAAAAGCCAATGGATTTGGTTGTTGTATCATCTACGTATCCAAAATGTAAATATTTAACTTATCTATTAATATATACTTTTTAATTTGAGCAAAATGCATATCTTAACAGTGAAATCCAAACGTTTTCTCAAATGTACGATGGATCTGGCTATTATGTTTGTACTGTATGGTACTCTAATTGGTAAGATTTCAGTTGAAACTTTCATTGTAATCCAGAAGAGGATTTATAAAATAGATTATTAGGTAAGTTAACTTACACATCAAAATGAAATTTTAAAATATTTTTGGGTAAAATGCAAATGTGATTGTGTTACGACTTCATGCCTTCTCTTGTTGGTGAAATACTTCTTGTTTAACTTTCTAAAAATTTCGATTTTAATAGAATCTTTGTACCACTTAACAGAAACACTTAACCATCTGTAGCTTCCACAATATTATTGTTTTAATGTTAATAAAGCCTAAAATGTATTTATTCCACATAACTAAAACATTGAATTATGAAGGGTTGCACTTAACCATCTGTAGCTTCCACAGTATTGTTTTAATGTGTTTTGTTTTTGGTTTCGTGTACCTAGATATCACAGAGACATTGAATGGTAAACTGTTTTCTTTGTCCTGATTATTTTTTATCTGACAGTTTCAATGTTATTATATCTTGTAGAGACCTAAGATTTTTATTATTTTACTTCTTCTGTTTACCATAGAGACATGGACTTGTTTATTGTTGAATCCACTCTGATATATGGTTAAAAAAAAAAGATTTCTTTGTGATTTCACACATTCTACTAATGTCTGCTTTAGAAGAGATGCATTAATTCTTTATTATTTGACACATTCTACTAAAGTCTGCTTTAGAAGAGATGCATTAATTCTTTATATTTTGACACATTCTACTAATGTCTGCTTTAGAAGAGATGCATTAATTCTTTATATTTTGACACATTCTACTAATGTCTGCTTTAGAAGAGATGCATTAATTCTTTATATTTTGACACATTCTACTAAAGTCTGCTTTAGAAGAGATGATTTCTTTACTGTCTGACACACTCTTACAGTGACTGAACACTGTTGAGACAATTTTATTAAGTTCTTTATGACTGTAACAAATCTCAGGTAATGGAATTTGACAGGTATTGATTTAGATGAACAATGTACTTTATCAAACAATTACATTATTTTTGACACAATATTAATTTTTTGTTCATTTCTGATATTTTGCAGGTACTCTCTCTACCCTGTCCAATACATTACAGAATCTAAATAATAAGTATGCCTGATCTTATTTTGTGCTTAATTAACTAGGTTATATAGTGTTTGATGTTTTTTTCTACACTATGGTATTTCATCTTATCTAGGTAGCTTGGCATGATGTAAGCTAAGTTCTATTAACTGACTAGCTGAGATGTTGCTATATATACCATGTTTTATTATATTTATTTATTATATTTATTATATGTAGTGTAGTAATCCACTGTCTTTATGTACTTGGTGTATACGCTGTATGTAGTAATCCACTGTCTTTATGTACTTGGTGTGTACGCTGTATGTAGTAATCCACTGTCTTTATGTACTTGGTGTGTACGCTGTATGTAGTAATCCACTGTCTTTATGTACTTGGTGTGTACTCTGTATGTAGTAATCCACTGTCTTTATGTACCTGTTGTGTAAGTTGTATGTAATAATCCACTGTCTTTATATACCTGTTGTGTACATTGTATGTAATAATCCACTGTCTTTATGTACTTGGTGTGTACGTTGTATGTAGTAATCCACTGTCTTTATGTACCTGTTGTGTATGTTGTATGTAATAATCCACTGTCTTTATGTACTTTGTCAAATCTACCTTATCATCATAAATTACTTTTGCAGTACTGCAGTCAAAGTAACCTTTGATGACAAACTGTATTATCTGAAATTGTGCGTTCAACATAGTATTTCTATTTTCGCAAACATGGCTGGCAAATAGATGTTGTCAAAATGTTAGAGTATCCATAAAATTGCTAACCAGAAGTAATCAGATCTATTGCTCATTATTTGACAAATCAAAGAAGCCTGGAATGCCATTAATGTGGCCCTGATCCAGTGTGGCTTTAAGAAATATTGTCTCACAAATGCCATGGATGTTTCAGAAGATACATCCACTGGGATGATGATGATGATGCAGTAGATAAAGAAGATGAGGATATCCATAGTAATGCCATTTGTAGTGACAATAAGACTTTAGAGAACTTGTACCAATTATTTGAAGACAGTGATTCAGACTCAGAATTTGAAGGTTTCTTCAAAAGCAATTTGTAATCAAATGTAATATAGCAGTAACTGGTTTTGTATTTCCAAACATTTTTAAATAAATCTTAAAATCACAAGACTTAGCTTCTTGATCATTTTATTTCAAAAATCATGTTTAAAAATACAGAAAATGTGAGACAATTCTCATTTATGTCTTAGAAAGCAAGAGAATTAATATGACATACCATCGAAATGCAACGTTTCTAGTAAATATGCACTATCAAGAAAAGATGGTCTGGACTGACTGTAAAAAAATCACTCAGAATTCTTACCATATGTTACACAAACCCTACCTTCTAGATAAATGTTTAATGACAAAAAAAGTGCAATTATACTTGGAAAATTGCTGTAGTTATGCACTGTCGTTACATCCTTGGTGCGTACATTGTATATTATTATGCAAATCATTTGTATCCTTGACGTGTACATTCTATTTATTGCAGTATTGTTTTGTTTTTATTATTTGGTTTATTAGGTAGACAATAGTTGTATAGATATTGGTGTAAATTTAGCTGTTAGACTGCATTTCATCCAAATTACATTTGTGTTACCTTGAAATTAAAATTTTATGCTTTGTAATTGTTAATTCTGTTGATAATTATTGAATTACCTTATTAATTATTCATTGAATTTTTACCTAATGGAATTAAGTTAATTACCAGAAATGTTATGAAATGTTAGAAGATTTTTTTTATCATTTAATTTTTTGTTAAACCTAATAAAAGTTAATTTGCTTTCTTCAAAACAAAGTCTTCTGATTTATAACAAATGTAGCGATTCAGATAACGCTTTGGTAATTTGAGTTTATATAATTTTGAACTTGCAGTTGTAATGGTACAAAATGCTGGAAAGACTCGCAGAATGTGGCTAACAGCACAATTGCTGACACAGTAGGTTAGTTGTGTTTTTTAATACATAGTATATTAGCAGTAACTTTTGTTTCTAACATTGAAGAGATGTTTGTGGTGAAATTATATATTTAGAAGTTTCAAATTTAGGAAATTAAGATTATCTTTGAAGTAGCCCCTGTTGACTAATCATTGGGATGTTACTGTTTTTTCTATGTTGTACATGTAAATTATTCTCTTCTGTGTTAATAGTGTAGTAAATGTTACTTTATATTGTAATATAAAGTAAATATTTTCAGTTTGTAAATTTTTGTGTGTTAATCAATAATCTTTACCACAATATTATATCATGAAATGTGTTGTTGAACTTTAAGTATCTACTTTTATTTTTCAGAGTTGACAACGTTATATCTTGTGCTTGTGATATTGGGCATACTTTGTTTCCTTATGTTGCTTACTTTGTTATTATACTATAGAAAAAGGTACGTTTTAATTACTATTTTTTTAATTTCATTTTTTAAACATTTTATTATGTCTATTTACTAGTTAAATATGGAATTTATATAAAATGTTGTGAACAGTCTACATTATTTAATAACAAAGGTAACAGTTTACATTATTTGATAACAAAGGTAACATTCTACATTATTTGATAACAAAGGTAACAGTCTACATTATTTGATAACAAAGGTAACAGTCTACATTATTTGATAACAAAGGTAACAGTCTACATTATTTGATAACAAAGGTAACAGTCTACATTATTTGATA